CCCCTGGGCCCGGCCTCGAGTGGCAGAGTGAGTGTCCCCGGGACCAGACCGGCACGTTGAGGCGGGGCGGGGGGATGTGGTCTAGGGAGACTAGGAAGGGGGCAGAGCTGGGGGCAGGCGAGGACCGCGGGGTTTGTAAGGCGACCCCGGTCTGCGGTCCTGTCCTCGTCGCCAGGCCGGGCACAGGCCTAGGGCCCCGCGTCTTCCCAGCCTCCGTGCCGCGCGCGGCGAGGGGCGGGGCCGGGGCAGGGCTGGGCTAGGAGGGCAGGTGAGGTTTCAAAATGTACACTTTCCAAAAGTTTTGTTTTGTTTTTCTGGTAGGATCATCTCTCAGAAAACTGATGGCAAAAAGTGTCCCACGTTGCCTCCTCCCAAAGCAAACGTTCTGGGTGTGCATCCCCACCTATGGTGCGGCAAACCAGGGCTCCCCTTTCCACAGGGGGGGGGGGGGGGGGGGGGGGGTAACGCATTCTTTTTCTTTTCTTTTTTTTTTTTAAGAGGCTTTTGCTGTAAGGCGCGTGTGCTCGCTGGAGAGACAGAACGGAAGAATGAATGACCACCACTACCCCCACCCCCGGGGGGGGGGGGGGAGACACTGTAATCCCTTCTCCTCCGTTCTCCTCTTGGGATTTTGGTACTTCATGAGCACACACACACTCTCTCTCCCCTGCCCCTTAGTTTTAAGGCGCTGGTCTGGGACTCGAAACACGGTCAACTACATTGGAGTACAACAGCGTAACCATTACACCATGTGCTGGGGGCCCCAAAATACATTCTTTTCTTTTTTTTAGTGAGTGATATTGTTGCTATAGGGTGCGTGTACTCACCAGAGAGAGACAGAAAGCGAGAATTCATCCCTTCTTCCCCCAGGGATTGGCCAGCAATCTCTTCTCCTCCATTCCCCTCTCAGGACCTTAGGCACACATTCACATTGGCCCAGTAAGAGTTTCAAGCCACTAGTTCTGAGACTGGAACAGCAGTCCACTACGTGGGAGTCCAGTGATGTAACCACTATACCATTTGCTGGTGCCCAAAACGCATACTTTATTAACGCCTGGCAGATGAGGTGGGGGAGAGGAGACCCTAGGGTCTGGAAGAGCTTCATGATCTTCACCAAGGTCCCCTTTTCTCCTCAATTTCTCCCTTCAGAGAAATGGGGTCTGTAACATCCATGGGATCACTGAGTATGTCTCCCCCAGCCCCCCAAACACACACATGCCCACATAGATCAGTTCTGCAAACATTTATTGAGCACTTAATATACCTCAGACTTATAAAGGGATGTGCAAAGAAACTGAGGAGAGAGCCTATCCTGCAGGGACCCACGTGCAGAAATGGGTGGCTCTGAGGCAGACAGCCTGGCATCCCAAAGCAAAAGCCCATGTGTGGAGGGAGTAGAGAAGTAGGGGAACCTGGGGTCTAAGTTCTTTTTTTCTTTTGCTTTTGAACAGAGCATATACTTTTTTTTTTTTTTTTT